ACTACGTACGATACACAAATAATGGAAACAACGTTACCCGTTTAAAAGAGTATAGAGCTCACGTCACCATGTCACGTAAAATTACGTAATGTGAATAGGCAATACTAGTCTTAATTTTCTGCTGCAAAAGGACTAAACTTTTTTTCGATTTGGTGATTATTAAAAATTAATGACAGCATTTCATAAAATTTAATCCAGTCATTTATGTGATATTGCTTGATCTCCGGTAAAAATTGACAATTGCTGCCTTACAGGTTTCGCGTACCAATTTCGTACACCCCTATCAATGACGTACCCACCCCAAATAATAAATATCAATTAGTAAATATTTAAAAGTAGGTCCGTTCTTGATAGGATTGTACGAAATTGGTATACGAAACCTGTAACTATTAATCCACTTATGAATCGCTTATGAAACCGTTCATGAAACCGCATAATAATTATAAATCATCATCTATTTAATTGGTCAATTGCTTTTCTTAGCTGTAAATGAAGCCGCATAATATTTATAAATCATTACGCATATCACTTAATTTTAATAATCCAACATTCCTATAAAAAAATTATCGCCAATATGAATTTACCTACTTTATGGTTTTGTTATGCAATAATTGTCCCACTATCATAATGTAGCTTCAAATAAACTCTTACATAGATTCGATCACAAATAACTCATGACAATTAGTATGCAAGTTTGCCTGTAAGAGGCAAATTTTGTGATTTTAAAAAGTTTCTAATTTTATCAAGGTTAATTTATTCACCGCATATGCGATGTTATCGCACCCTAAAATCAAGTGTAACGTGAAATCAAAACAATCAAATAAACTGTTCTTTTTGTTAGTTAAGGTTAGGGTGAGGTAAAGACATTGCGGAGACGAAAAAAGAAGACTTATAGTAAAATTTTGCAAGGAATTTTTTTTGTTAGAGCCCAAAGAACAGTTTCATATGCCATATTTTGAGCTATAAATGATTTTTAACAAAACTAACGTTTGTTTTGAACTTTAATGGTCGTGCTACATTACACCTAATCTTGAAATTTAATTGGTCGATCATGTTGAAAGCCTGATGCGATGAATAAATTTACCCTTTTATCAATTACATAAAAATGCCTTTTTTTCGAAAACACGCTCGAGTCCAAGATTCTCTAATATTCTACGTTTTGTCTTCAAAAATTTTACGCTAAATTATTTAAAATACACCGATAAAAACATGCTACAGTACATACTGTATCACATATGCAACATACAGGTTTATGCACAAAATAGGAAAATCAAACTTGTACGTACGTACGTACGTATATTTATGCATTGCCACAAACTTTAAATTGAGTCGGCTTTTTTTCTAACGTTAAGCTGCATTTATATTCATGTATGGATGAAACATCACAAGTATGGCTCTTCATAAAAAAAAAACATGATATCAACTCTAAATGATGTCGGGAAGAGAGAACCTGTAAAATTGATTAATGAATTTCACTATATTGAATTCACTATATCGTATCAATTTTTGGGAACTCATGAATCAATTTACAGTTTCTACACCGTCACTCATATATGGTCTCAATTACTATCTCTCGATAAAAAAAATTCAATGTAGAAATTCCAGCAGTCATGAAAGCTATAATTATCAAATCTGCCTGGTCTTATCTAACTATTTAAATCATAATTTGTGGGATCTGGTATGTAATACTCTGAAGCTAAAAAAACAATTGTCAGAATTTTGGCTGCAACATTATGAACTGACTTTCTTTTTGTTAGCCAGGATTACGATTTGAATTTTTGATAAATCTTTGCACAATTTAAATGACCATAGATAGAGTTGGCTTATGAAAATCTTTTCAAGCTCATATAATATTAGTAATTAATCTAAACGATTGTATTTATAGATGTATGGATATAAAGAATTCTCTAAATTTAAACCAAATAATACATTTGCATTAAGAACTCATGAAGAAGCTTATCTTATGATGAGCAGATGCGAGGAATCATTAGCAAATTTAAATAAATCGTTAGAAATTGAACCAAATAATGCATTTGCATTAAGAAGTCGTGGAATAATTTATCGTATGCTGAATAGATATGAAGAGTCACTGGCTGATTTAAATCAATTATTAGAAATTGAACCGAATAATACATATACATTATGTGAACGTGGAGAAACTTATCGAATGTTGAAAAAATATAAAGAATCACTTGGGGATTTAAATAAATCATTAAGAATTAAGCCAAATAATGCATTTGCATTAAAATACCGTGGTCGACTTATCGTTCAATGAATAAATATAAACAATCATTAACAGATTTAAATAAATCATTAAAGATTGAACCAAATAATGTATTTGCATTAGAAAACCGTGGAGAAACTTATCGAAGGATGAATAGATATGAAGAATCACTTGCAGATTTAAATAAATTATTAGAAATTGAACCAAATAATGCACTTGCATTAAGAAGCCGTGGAGATACTCTAGCAGATTTAAATAAATCATTAGAAATTGAACCAAATAATGCAAAAGCATTAAGAAGTCGTGGAGATATTTATCGCAGGATGAATAATATGAAGAATTACTTGCAGATTTAAATAAATCATTAGGAATTGAACGAAATAATGCAAAAGCATTAAGATACCGTGGAGCAATCTATCACATGATGAGCATATATGACGAATCACTAGTAGATTTAAATAAATCATTAGAACTTGAGGCAAATAATGCAGAAGCATTAGGCAATCGTGGAGCAACTTATCGCATGACGAAAAGATATGGCGAATCATTTGCAGATTTAAATAAATCATTAGAAATTAATCAAAATGATGCATTTGCGTTAAGCGAGTATGAAATAACTTATCGCATCATGGGCGGATACGAACAAACACTTGCGGATTTAAATAAATCATTAGAAATTAAACCAAATGATGTAGTTGTATTAAGTGCTCGTGGAGCCACTTACCGCATGATGAGCAGATATGAAGAATTACTTTCAGATTTGAATAAGTCATTAGAAATTGATCCAAATAATGCAGAGGCATTAAGAACCCGTGGAGAAACTTATTATATGATAAATAGATACAAAGAATCACTTGCAGATATAAATAAATCATTAGAACTTAAATTTCATGCTATATCTACATTAAGATATGAGAATTTGATTAAATGGATTCCATTTGATAGGCTAGATGATATTCAGATAATTGGTAAAGGTGGATTTAGTACAATATTTTCTGCAATCTGGTTAGATAGCAAGCAAGTTAATGAGAACTTATATGCATGCAAACCAGTTACTCTTAGCAATTTCAAAGAAGTTAGTTCAAGATTTTACTATAGCGCTTTGCAGAAAGGTGTAATCTTATTATTTATGCGATGATGATATTGGGAATCTCTAAGATTTTTTACATATTATATACTGTATTTTATAACATTTTTAAAATTACGAATTTTCCAATTCTTGCACAAGATCACAACTTTTTACAAAGTTCAATAAAACATATATGCAATATGTGTACATTTATTGACAATTATAATTACATGCCTAATTTATTAGTTAGACAATCATGTTCAATGTAGTTTGAATGGTCTTGCACTTGAGATATATGAAATAACTCAACATAAAAACTCAGACATATCTTATGGTATTTCAATATGCAAATAAGGAAAATATGTATGATTTTTTAATATTAAATTTTAAACAGCTCAATTGAAAAAAAGTTGATGTACCTTATAGATATATCAAATGATTTAGCTAAAATTCATGAATCAGAATATATTCATTGTGATTTTCATAGCGGGAATATTTTGCTAAATCAATACAAAGTTTATGCAAAGTCTTTTATTACCGATCTAGGATTATCCAAAAATCTGAAAGAATCAGCTTTGTGATGTGAAGTTTTTGGAGTCATGCCATATGTTGCATCAGAAATTTTATTAGGTGAATGATATACACAAGCAGCTGATATATATAGTCTAGGCATTATTATAACAGAATTGTTAACAAGAAAACAGCCTTTTTACAGCTATCTATTAAATAATAGTCTTGCTTTAGATATTTATAAAGGATTTCAACCTGAATTTTCTGAAAGAACCTCTCAATTTTATATCAAATTAGCAAAGCAATGCATAGATTCTAAACCATGTAGCAGACCTAATGCTAAGAATAAAAAGAATAATAGATTTTTTAACACCTTCTTTTAATCTTCAAGAAATTTATTTTAATTCTCTTATTCAAAAAATAAATTAAATTATTAATAATACACCAACATTAAAAAGATTTAAAAATTTATTTTTCATATTTATACAAAAAATCTTAAAAATTTTACAAAATTTATCACTAGAACTAAATATTAATAATCTTTAAAATTTATTGAAGATAATTTTAATAATAATCATCAATGGAAAAAAGAAGCAAAATTTGATTTAGAAATAGAATTTATACCTGAAACTGATAAACCAAATTCTATATATTGAAAAGAGATATAGCTATAGGTCTTCTCAAAGGAATTGGAGCTTCTTTATCTTCTAATAGCTCAACTTCAAGAATAGATAATTGGGCTCAAATATATGATATTTCTGGTTGTGCTGAAGAAGCTAATTTTATTTTAGTTGATAAAAGTGTACATTATATTCAAGTATATTATTTAAAAAAGAAAGCTGTTCTACTTTAGTAATTACACCACTAATAGAATTAACTAAATATAATGCTATGTATAATTATTCTAAAATATAGAATGCCTGTAAAAAAACTATTAAGTATAAAAAATACTTCTAATAGTGCAAGGCTTGAATATAGATTATTATATGAATTAAATGAAAATTAATTTAGGCTTATTAATAATATTGAAAAAATTTAACATTTTTATAAAAAACCCTTTTTATATTATTTCTACAAAATCTTCTTTTACTTTAAAAACTTTGAAACTTCAAGTTTTTTAAATGTCTATAATAAGTTATTAGAAAAAAATAATCTTTCACAATCAGAATTTCTTATAAAATTTGTTTAATTATTTTAATGAAAACTGTAAATCATAGTTTTCAATCTATTCCTTATATTAAAAAATATTTTAAATTTAGTAATATTAATTATTTTGATAATAATAGAACTTTGAATATTTTTAAAATGATGAAATATTCTAATATTGCTTGGCTACTAGATAATATTACTGATATTGTAAATTGTTCTATAAATATTGATTCTAATAATATTTCAAATTTTATTTATAAAGATTATGCAACACTTAATAATAATCTTGATGATGATGACATTATTATCAATGAGGAAGGATAGATAAGCAATATTACTTCTTCTACAAGTAATGAAATAGAACATTTAGTAAATTTTGTTTAAGATTTATTTATTGAAGATTGTATTAAAAAGATACCTAGATGTCATATGCAATCAAATTTTCTAGGCAAGCAATTAATTAAAGAAAATGTTGAAATATATTTAAAACAACATTGTTTTAGATATATAAAGTTGTCATCTCTTTATGCACTCTATAAAACAAAAGATAGTAGATTTGATATATATTTTACTACTAATTTAAGAACTAATGAAAGACAAGGTTAGAAAGATATAAGATATTTAAAACAATATAGAAAATTAGAAATTCATTTAATGATAATGAAATTATTAAAAGTTTTGATTCAAAATTAAAACAAAAATTATTTCAACTAGAAATTTTACTATATTCAAAAATATATGAAAATTTTTTGTATCTTATAATTGCTCAATTTGTATTAATAAATAAATAAAATATAACTAATTTTTATTTTTTTGGATATTGCTAATTTTAATCAGAGGAGAAATTACTAGTATATAATTAGTCAATAAAATTACAAAATCAGATGTAATGTATAAATTAATTTTGTATGACAAAAACAAAGAATTTTTTAAAAAATTGTGAATATCTTAAAAATTCGCCTATGAAACCTCCTCTTGGATTCTAACAAAAAAGTTCCTTGCTAATTTTGCATATAATCTATACTTTGTCCTAATTCAAATCATAGGCTATGATCCTTACTCTAAACTAAAAGAGGTAAATATTTTTTTAATTTGATACTAATTTATGTATTACACATACTAGTGATTAGTGTTCAGAACTGAATCAAAAATCACAGATTGATTTGGGATTGAACTGAAATTGATCTGATCTCTGGATTCAGATCAAATTCGGAAAATCTGGCCAATCCGGGGATTATCAAAAAAAATCTTTTTTTAAGCACGAATAATGATATATCACTATTAATATGACCTCATACTAAGTTATAACAATAAGGTATTTAATACACTTCTTTTAGATCTTTTACATTTTCTTATGTTAGAGGGCTACTTTGGTATGTTGAATTTGATTCAACTCGCTTATTCTAGCTATATTTTGAATTTATAATCTAGCTATATAAATGAACAAAGACACTTTGTAAGAATACCACACTGAAAGATTTGAATCTTAGTGATATTAATCTTGGATCAAAAGCAGAAAAAGCATTAGCTGACACACTTTACAAGAATACCTCCTTAACATCTTTAAAAAGAAAAAGAATTAGCTAGTGCACTTTGCAAGAACTCCTTTTTAATAACGTTAAATCTCAACAATAATCATAGATCCGAAAAAAAAAAAGCATTAGTTAATGCATTTTGCAAGAACATCTTAATGTTAAATCTTGGTAGTAACGTTCTTAGATCAGAAAAAAGAAAAGCATATATTGAAATATATTCTACTTATTTCAGCTGGATCACTAGTATGTTGAGGTGGTACAATTTATTCTTGCTGGGTTACTTTGGTAATTTTAAGTAAATCCAATTTATTTGCTCTAGCCAGTTGCTTTAGTATGTTAATTAGATTCAATATGCTTATTTTAGCAGGGGTCCTTATGTACGTTAGTTTTCAGTTTGATTGTTCTAACTAGTTTTTTGGTAAGTTGAATTTATAGAATAGCTAAGAACCTGAAAGATGGTAATTGTACAATGCTAATGGAGTATGCGAAACAAGAAAGTCTTTGAAAATTGTTAGATACACAGATAAAAAATAAAAATTCTATGTGTAAATAGCACTATTCAAATGCCATTTTTGACACATCGAATTTTTTATTTTTTGACTACATTAGTAAATATGATGAATTAGATTGGCTTTTTAAGCTGATGGGCTTAAGATAATTCATAAGCTAAAATTTATAGTACGAATTTTTAGAAATACGAACCTTAATTTGTGATTAGTAAAGTGTAATTATCTTATTTATTCTATTAATATTTTAGGTTAAAAATTAATACAAACATGGAGCAACTCGACAATTGCGATTTATGGAATAACTAAAAACCCAAAAGATAGTAATTACACAATGGCCATGGAGTATTCAAGCAGAGAAATCTCTAAAAATTGTTAGATAGTAAACATGATGAATTAGATTAGATTTCTAAAATAGCTACCCTATACTGTATAACTGATGATAAAGTACGAATTTTTAGAGTATGTATGAATCTTAATTTATGATTATTAAAGTGTAGTAATATTATTTATTCTATTAATATTTTAGGTTGAAAATCAACACAAACATGGAGACAACTTGATAATTGCAATTTATAGAATAACTAAGAACCCAAAAGGTGGTAATTACATAATGGGCATGGAGTATACGATGTAGAGAAGTCTCTGAAAATTGTTAGATAGTAAATATGATGAATTAGATTGGATCTCTAAAATAGCTAACCTATACTGTATAACTGATGGTAAAGTACAAATTTTTAGAAGTATGTATGAATCTTAATTTATGATTATTAAAGTATAGTAATCTTAATTATTTTATTAATATTTTAGGCTGAAAATCAACACAAACATGGGGCAACTTGACAATTGTAATTTATGGAATAACTTAGAACCTGAAAGATGGTAATTGTACGATGACCATGGAGTATGCAAAGCAGAAAAGTCGCTGAAATTGTTAGATACACTTGTAAAAAAAATAAAAATTTCAATGTATCAAATAGCACTATTCAAATGCTATTTGACACATCAAATTTTTTATTTTTTGCTTGTGTTAGTAAATATAATAAATTAGATTAGGTTTTTAAGCTGATGGGCTTAAGATAATTTATAAACTAAAATTTATAGTGCAAATTTTTAGAAGTACGAACCTTAATTTGTGATTATTAAAGTGCAATAATCTTATTGATTTAATATTTTAGGTTGAAAATCAACACAAACATGAGGACAACTTGATAATTGCAATTTATGGAATAACTAAGAACCCAAAAGGTGGCAATTACATGATGGTCATGAAGTATGTAAAGCAGGAAAGTCTCTGAAAATTGTTAAATAGTAAACATGATGAATTAGATTGGGTTTTTAAAATAATTACCCTATACTGCATAACTGATGATAAAGTATGAATTTTTAGAAGTATATACGAATCTTAATTTATGATTATTAAAGTGTAGTAATCTTATTTATTCTATTAATATTTTATGTTAAAAATCAACACAAACATAGGGGCAACTTGATAATTATGATTTATGGAATAACTAAGAACCCAAAAGGTGGTAATTACATGATGGTCATGGAATATGCGAAGCAGAGAAGTCTCTGAAAATTGTTAAATAGTAAACATAATGAATTAGATTGGGTTTCTAAATAGCTACCCTATACTGTTTAACTGATGATAAAGTACGAATTTTTAGAAGTATGTACGAATCTTAATTTATGATTATTAAAGTGTAGTAATCTTATTTATTCTATTAATATTTTATGTTGAAAATCAACACAAACATGGGGGCAACTCAATAATTGCGATTTATGGAATAATTAAGAACCCAAAAGGTGGTAATTACATAATGGTCATAGAGTATGCGAAGCAGGGATGTCTCTGAAAATTGTTAGAAAGTAAATATGATGGGCTTCTAAAATAGCTAACCTATATTATATGGCTGATGGTAAAGTACGAATTTTTTGAAATACATATAAATCTTAATTTATGATTATTAAAGTGTAGTAATCTCATTTATTCTATTAATATTTTAGGTTGAAAATCAACACAAACATGGGGGCGGCTCGATAATTGCGATTTATAAAATAACTAAAAACCCAAAAGGTAATAATTATATGATGGCCATGGAGTATGCGAAGCAGGAAAGTCTCTGAAAATTATTAGATACACAGATAAAAAAATAAAAAGTTCGATGTGTCAAATAGTACTATTCAAATACCATTTGACGTATCAAATTTTTTATTTTTTGCCTGTGTTAGTAAATATAATGAATTAGATTGGATTTTTAAGCTGATGGGCTTAAGATAATTTATAAGCTAAAATTTATAGTGCAAATTTTTAGAAGTACGAACCTTAATTTGTGATTATTAAAGTGTAATAATCTTATTTATTCTATTAATATTTTAGGCTAAAAATCAACACAAACATAGAGGCAACTCAACAATTGCGATTTATTGAATAACTAAGAACTCAAAAGATAGTAATTACACAATGGCCATGGAGTATTCGAAGAGAGAAATCTCTAAAAATTGTTAAATAGTAAATATGATAAATTAGATTGGGTCTCTAAAATAGCTAATCTATATTATATTGCTGATGGTAAAGTACGAATTTTTAGAAATATATATGAATCTTAATTTATGATTATTAAAGTGTAATAATCTTATTTATTCTATTAATATTTCAGGTTGAAAAACAACACAAACATGGGGTGGCTTAATAATTGCAATTTATGGAATAACTAAGAACCTAAAGGTGGTAATTACATGATGGTCATAGAGTATATGAAGCAAGGAAGTCTTTGAAAATCATTAGATAGTAAATATGATGAATTAGATTGGGCTTCTAAAATAGCTAACCTATATTATATGGCTGATAGGTTTATATATTCTATTATATAAATAGATTTACAAATAAAAATAAATAGGATTTATAGATCATTGATTACAAAATTAATATGTCACTAATTTAATTCAAAATAAAAAACCTGAACCTTAGTCTGAAACTCCTTAATGTTTTAATTATTACAACATTTGAATATAAACAATTACAATTACATTGAGGAAGATATGGAAGAATATATCAATTATATTATCATTTGTTTTATTGATCTTTAACAAAAATCTAATTAAACCAACCTATACATGCAAGCTATGTACAGGATGTTCTTTAAACTCTAACAGAATTCAAAACAAATGTACAATTAACATCTCAGCTAGCTCATCAACTA